CAGTCAAGAAGATTAGACTACAGTACTGCATGGAAACATGGCAACTTTGTTACCATGTCAAATTTGTATAAAAACAAAGGGCCTCTTTTTTAATTTGAGTTGATACACATGTCCTAGAGAGATTCTACTCACTGTTGCTGTTCCAGTGCAACTCTGCCATGGGACTAACATGTAACACATTCTGCTGCAAAGATAAATGGCATTTTTTCCTGCAGACTGTACTTCTGTTATACCAACAGTAAGTGCTCAGCTATCGCAAAGCAAAACAAATCAGGAAATTAACATGCACAAAATTTAACCCCCCTTCCAGTTTTTCTTCTGCTGGATTAATTTTTTTATCCAAACTTTCCACAATCACCTAGGTAGTTTTTTTGTTACAAATCTATGCACTAAGTTATTCTCATCTTACTAAGCAGTACACACAAATTGAAAAAATAAAACTGATGTGACAGTAAAATAGCTAACCAGTCCATTTTATGCCCCAAAATCTTCAGATAAGTGAATCTTACATTAAATATTACCACCACCTTGTGCGTATGTGAAAGACCCTGGCCAGAGATCACTGCGCTCTGATAAAAAGAGGACAGTAACGGAATCCAGACTGTCCCAGTTCACACTGAAGATTCTGGTGGATATAGTAAAAAAGGAAGAAATAAGCAGCGTAAGACAACTTCACTGTAAACTAGTTTTCCTGATTTAATTTTTGCTCTTAGCAGCCAATTCAGGTTCAAGAGAATTCTCTGGTCTCACAATCTTCTAGGATGGGGGAAAAAAATTTAAAAATCAGCAAGAATATCACCTGGTATATCTACAAAGAAACTGCACTGAGATGATATGTTAAATAAGTAATACATAGCTTATAATGGTTTATTTTATCCTTAAAGATTTCTTAACTATGCATCTATGCCTCCTTACTTCAGAAGAGCACAATAAAACCTCTAGATCCTCTACTGACTTGGAAAACAAAAGAAGGGAAAGGTATACTTATCTGATTAATTTTAAAATTATGATATACATACAAAATATTTTCACGTATTTTAATGTGTTTCATTTTTACTGCTGTGTCTAGGTAACCTAGTTTACCAGACGCTATCACCCTGAATACACCCTTCCCTTCTGTTCTCAGCTTTTAAGCAGAGGATTTCAAAGTCTTATTAAGCTCTGTAGTAAACCAGCAGAACTGAATCAGGATGCTCATTACTATTAACAAATCCTACAAAATTTCTAATATTTTCTTTGTGCTGCTGTGCTTGAAGCTTTATAATTCACAATTACAGTTCCCTCAATGCATTCCAGTACAGAGAACAACAAAAAAATGAAATATCAAAAGCAGTTCTGGATACTGCTGAGCTGTCTTAAGCAGCCATTATACAGTGAATTCCATCATATATGGAATGACCATATATGGCATGGTCAAACCATGACCTTTATGGCATACACTAAGAACTCATAACTAAAAGATACTGAGAAAGTACTGCAAGAGCAAGAAACATAAAGCATTTAACAAAAGACAAAAAGATCACAGCACAGCTGAGGTCAGAAGGGACCCAGTATTTTGTCAGAACAATCCAGCAAAATAAATATTTTCAATCTGTTTCTTCCTGTAATTACTGAGAGCTGGGATACTTTCCATGATTCATGCTTTTAGACACATAGACATTCAAATACTTAATGTTTTTCTCATAAAAGTCCTTATTCTTTCAGATTGTTTACTTCACGCCTAATTTCCTCTTCCATCCGTCCCAGCCCAACAGATTATGCCAAATTCTGAACACTTTAAACTGAGCAATACTTCAATAATTAGTCCTAGAATGTAAGCCTGAGACATACTTCCCATAAATACTTACCAGGAATTTTGTAATGACTGAAGCCCGTGATCAATCTGAATTCACCATTCTTTTCCAATCCTTACTGAACACCAAGAAAGTTTATTTCTGTAATCTTCAACTGTCTGAAATCAAGCTAAATGGCCCTGAGAGTCACTGCTTTTTTGCAAAACTACAGCTCCTAGCTCCATTTTGCTCTATACAAAGACTGTTGAAACTTCTGATCAAGTCACCTGTTTTCAGAAGATGCCTTCCCAAATGTCACGCAAGCCTGGTGGTAAACCTGTGTACCAGGAGTGCTGAAGCAGATCCTAACTCCTGTGATCCTCATCTCCTTGCAGAAAGAGGGATGGCTGAACAGCTTGATAATCAAATCCTGAACTGCTAGACTGCAACTCAGTGTATTCATGAAAACTACCAATAAGTTTATTTTACCCATCTTAATGTACTGGGCTGCAAGCTTTTATGGCTCAGGAGGTATTTACAAACAGCTTGGCAGTCCCAACAACTTCTGCAACAAGGGCAGGACAAAACATTTAAGCTGACATGCATCACAGTTTTATCTGCTAACAAGTATTTCACTTCCCAGAAAACCCAGAATTGTTCTTGGCTGGTTTTAGTCCCAAGCAGGGATTTTTACTCCAGAATATGAGCGTCTTGTCTCATTTCAGCCAACACATGTTAAAGCTAAATACACACAGTTCATATAGAAAAAAGGTTATTCTGAAACTGCTATTTGATTGTAGTATTCTTGGATATTCTTAATGGGTAACTGCAACCATTTTAAGCATATTGCTTAAAAATTATCCTTCTCCATAACTTGTAAGTATCCAAAATTTTTTTAGATTCCTAAATGCTCAAGAAATCAGTTCTGAACATTACATCATTACTTGCTAGGAATTAGCTCAACTTAAACAAAAGCAACATATGCTCCTCAAAAAGTAAGGGGAAATTTTACTGAATAAAAATGCAAATATGCATTTTAGCAGCCTTGAATTTATTAATCTGATAGGTTTAATTTCCATTTTCCTGCATCAGCTTTATTTATAAAGTGTCGTGCCCTATAAATATGCTGTTATTTTCTATAGTCAAGCACCCTCTTAACAAATCTTCTCATTAATATGTAAATTTAAAGTCAATCGGTCTTCTCCCTGACAGCGCCATGAATTCCTAGTGCACTGTATAATCGGCTTTGACTTGGCATCCACTATTTATCATCAAAGATGTCAGTTAGAAAAATTATGGAAAATGCACTGCAATTGATATGACTGCAATCTACTTTGTCAACACTTAATTGTTCCTCAAATCATACATTTACATATAAACAGCCTAAATACTGATCCATAATGATGCAAATAAACTAAATTAAAAATCTCTTCTACTGCACAAGATGGCCCATTGTATGATGAGTTCATTTAAGAACGAATTGACAAAGGCATGCATTTCAACTAGCACAACAAAAAAAATCTGCTAATTAAATTGCTGAGTAGGTAGACAAACTAAATTTTACACTGAAGATCTTGAAAGTGAAAACAAAGTGTTATTAATACTATACTACTGATGACTAATTTTAGGTTGACAGAGGCAGTATTGTCACACTATCTTTTACATTCCTAGAGCAGAAGCCACAGCAGCAACTGTCATCCATCCAGTTTCAGAGAAAAAAGATTTAAGTCTTAAAGAAACCAAATCCCATCAAGACCTCCAACCCCAGTCCAAGACAGGAGGTCATCCTCCTCTTCAACTTTCCTTTCGTTCAATTACAGACTAAAACTGGCTGAAACATATTGTGGGATTGTAGCTTTAGGTAAAGCAGATTATCAATTTTGATTCTCTATAAATGTCAGAAAGAAGAATGCAAGTTGCCTTCTTCCAATAATCAACATGTAATCAACACTGCCTCAAGGACATTAGGAAAACATATAACTTAAATGTCTCATTATCTAAAAATGCTTTCCTTATTTTAAGCAATTTTCTGGGAAGATGTGTTCTTACAAACAATTTAATTTTCATCAACGATGAAAAAGGGTGTTTCAGAATCTAGCTACTAGCACAGAAATATAATTCTACTTCAGACATTTTTGCTATATTCATTATAAATCCTGCTTTTTTAAGAAGTTAATATAATCATAAACTAAATCAGACTGTTTGTCCAAATATATCTCCTTATAATTATTTTCACACAATAAATTACACATGTATTAACACAGAATGGCACTGCATTTCCATCTCTTTTCCCAGACAAAGGTTATTAAAAGACAGTTAAAAAGAACTCAGTGATAGAGTGATAGTTGGTGTCATTCCCTATTCCAATGCTGAAAATAGAAATCTGTAAAAAATTGTTAATGTGGTACTTACAAATCACAATAATCTGCACTAAGATGTACATTTTTAAAAAGGAATGGGTTCCAAATTAAATGGTAAAACCTAACACTAGTAACATCCTCAAGCCTTTTAATAAACACGAACAATCAGAGCTGTGGAGCAATTTTAAACAGTTCTTTCCAGAAGCATTCTGTCTTTTAATTAAAATGGTTATTCAGAGTTAGATCTCTATTGAAACAATGTTAACAGCATAAATTTCTTGAGCTGTGCCTTTTTTTACTGTAAGAAGTGACAGAATTTGTGTCCTGAACACTTCTTTTTATAATTTAAAAGGATAGTCATATTTATGCAATGCAAATGAAAATAACCACATAATTTTTTACATTTCACATTTCAAATACGTATGTTCAAGTCTTCACATGGTGCCTCAGCACATTAACAAAGCCTAAACAAGTAGTGGAATGTTTGTCATGTAGTGATACACTACAATACAAGTAGAGTCTCACAGTTTTCAGGACAGAATGGCAGACATTTCTAGTTTTGACTCATGTAAAATTGTCTGAAGCAAAAAGCAACATGGCTCAAAGAACCACAGAAAAAGGAGTCTCTCTGCTGCACACAGGATGTGCCATGGGAAAATAAGAAAAGGTTATACCCTGGAAGGAAAATTCTCAGGCTCTGAAGAAAGGTAGATACCTTGTGTTAGTGAAATCTCAGAGATCTAAGACTTATGTATTTGATCTCTATTTTTACTCAAGTCTCCAGAGAAACACATCTTAAAAGACTAAGTAAATCCAACAATGGAAATAATTCAGAATGCAGGCTCACAACAGTAGTTTAAGAACTTACCTTCCATGGACTTACAAACTGTGTGCGTGCGTACCGAGTTAACATGTGGATAATGACAACTTGACCCCACTCTTCCACATCAACCAGCAAGTTACAGAGCTTTCGGTAGTTCTTGTGAATCAGATCTATTCTATCTGGACATACTTCCTCAAATGCCATCACCACGCTCCCAGCTACCAGCTAGAAAACAAAATATAAACCAGAAGGTCAGTATTAGGTCTACAGTTAGACCACAAGTGAGAATCAGAATTAATACTAGCAATTCTCAGCAATTTCAAATTATTTCTATTCAGCAGCAACAACAAACAAAACAATAACAACAAAAAATAAGCCCACACAAATGTTATCTTATTTAAAACAGAATTGGGATAAGTTTATTAGAACAGAGAAAACACTTGATGTTTCTATTGCACACATAAATCTTAGCTCCCAGCCCTGAAGACACAGTGCAATGTAAGCATAATTTCCTTTTTTCTTACAGATTTAGCTTCCAAATAAATTAACAGAGAACTTGCAATTAACTTAGAAGTAAAAGGAAACAACAGAAAGCAAAACATATGCCCAGCAAAGTCTTTTGGTTTCTATCAACACTGGCTTTATCAAAGTAAAGAAGAGCTGGACCAAGTTCCCTAGGCATTACTGGAATTCAAACTTCTCTGTCAATATCACAAAATTAACTGTCACAGAAAATTTTGTATTTAGAGTTTCATGAATACACTCCTCCCCGCCCCACCACCCAAAGGCATAAAAATCAGCAGTAGAATAGAACTTTCCTCCAAAGAACAAGAAAATAATTTCTGCGTGTTGTTCAGCACTTCCTTAACAGTTACATAATTGCAGGTATGCATCATTTATATCCTGCCATGTTCTCACACCATTTTTTGCCCTCCTAAGAAGTACCTCTGTATTCAGGCACAAAGACTGTCATGCTACAACTGCAAAATAGCTTTGTTTTTCTGAGAAAATTAAATAGATTATCAACATTGTAACACCTCAAGGACTACTAAAACCTTCTGTCTGGGTACTTTATTTTAAAATAATGGGTGGAAACACATATTGGAGTTTCAGTTAAAATTCTGTCAGCAGGCTACTTTAACTGTGAGAAAAGATCAAAAGCTGACCATGCCTTATAAGGACATATAATTGTATGCCTGGGATTAGTGTTCTTTCTCTTCTAATTGCTTTAATTAAGATTTGTTTTGTGTCAGAGTACATGTTAAGTCAAATAACTAAAATGATGATACTTTATATAAAGCAGCTGATATGTATGCAGTTAGCATGCATGCAGTATAGCCTTCTGGCAGCAAATTAATGTCATATTCTATCCGAGCACTAGGGATCTGCATTTCAACCTCTATAATTTCCCCAATGACTTAAAGTAAGCAATTAAATAGAAGTGCAGTTTATTGAAATGGTACTTTCTGAGAAATATTAAATACAATGATATTCATATGTTACATTTTTCTCCCTGTATTTGGCTGACATGTGGTTTATTAGTATGCGCTCAACATTACAATTGAAAGAAAACAGCTCAGAAGATAGTCTTGCTATTATGCTAAACAAGTCTCAGGCTCTGTGGGGATTTTATGAATTACCAATAAGAATAAACGTGAAGTTGCATTTATTGTCTCCAGCCTCATCCACATACTGGTACCTGCTGGTCCCAACAACAATGCAATTCATTCCAGGGAGCAAAAATCTGATTATTTGATAGAGCTAAATACACTTCACATCTAAAATAATTTGCTGTATTATAAAAACAAAAACTTTTTTTTATCCGTTTTTGTACCAAACTTTCTTCTTAATAATGTGCTGTAGCAGTAACTTATCTGTAATTACAAACTGGTGAGTTGACGTTAAGGTGGGTGTTCAAAGCTCAGCAGAAGGCAGTGGTTAATCCCAGACAAATCACTACCTGCCCTGAGCAGGTATTCATTTAGGTCATAGAAGCTGAGAAGCTTTCCCAATGGAAAAGTGTGAAGTCCTTTCATCAGGAGGCAGGACTCCGAGCTACAGTTAAGGTCAGCTTGCAGAGGACAATATGGAAGACTTGAAGTTTTAGAAGAAAGAGATAATACTTCAAGACCACACAGACTTTTTGTAGAACACTGTTTCGTATGAGAGACAAGAGATAGACGAACATCAGTTTATGACTATCAGAATAGTCACAGTCTAATGGTTAAAAATACCCTTTTACGTTCATAGGTGAAGGTCAACACAGATTTCCAACAGTAATTCTGAAGAGAATATCCTTGCCTTTTACTACCAGTAGTTCAGTACACACACTTTGCTGTATTTCTCTTTAATCTGGATATGATTTAGCTTGAAGGCTGACACAAAATACATATAACACTACCTCAGATCATTTAAAACAGAGTACATTTCCTATAAACACTGCTAGCTTTCTAAAAGCTCTAAAAGTTCCTTCTAAAAGTTAGTATGAATAAAACACAACAACTTAATACAAAAAAAGGGTCAAAGTGGAATATAGGAATTCTAAATAATTACTTATTTCAAATTACATCTGCCTCCTACTTAAATTTACAGTGACCATGCTGTCACTTGTGAATGCTTAAAAGACATTAGTAAAAAACCTGAACATATGCTATGAAATGCAAGAGGTACACTGAATAAACAAGCATTTTATTCCTGTGGAAAGTCCCTAGATTTACAAGTTAATATAGGAATTGCCATTCATCATGACATTATTAAGATCACGCCTCTCTCCCCATTATTGTATTTTCTAAAATTAAGCTTTTCATTTGAAAGTGGAAAAAAACGCAAGAATGTGACAGACTGAAAATGCACTGGTAACAAGCAGATTTCTCCGAGAAAATTTCCTAATGCTTTCTTAATAAGAGATTATTTTCTAGTCTGCACTGTTTCCCCAATAGGATGATCCTACTATATATCTAAACATCAGTAGAACAGCTAATAATCTTTGTTTATTAAATGCTCAACATTCCATAAAAGTATTTAAAATTAAAACAAAATGATTCAATCAGAATATAAAACTAAAAAATAGCAGTTTCTAAAAAACAGTCAGTTAATTTCCATCTCACTGTGTCAATAGTAGCTTTTAGTATAAGGAGAAAATATAAATCACTCCAACAAAACTAGCAATGAGCTCATCAAATTCAAATGCTGCTTTCCATTTATGTATTTTTTATATTAAAGCAATAAACATGGTTCATTTGTCTTCCACTAGGTGCCACATTTTTCTGTGCTGTTGCTATGAACTTCAGCCATTAGCTGTGCTCCAAGGTAAACTATATGAACCATCAACAAAAGTGACACCCAATCTATGGAGTTCATATTTTCTCCAGATTATCTATGCTAGTTGACAAGCTGGTAATGAAAAAAATCACACTAAGCAAATGGTTCCTCTAATAACAATAAATTTTCTATAAAATTATGAAGGGTACAAAATGTTTCCTTGCATCTATTTTGTCATGAATTCTAATTAACGCTGCAAAAACCTGAGAGTGCTGGGTCATCACAGGAAGTGCATCGAGGTTTGATTGATAATACAGTGCAAGTTGGCCCACGCTGCCAAGATTCTTCTCTCTTAAATTAATGGCCACCCCACCTGCCCTAATCATACAGCCCAAATGATATTCCCCTTCTTATTTCAATTTTCTGGAGGCAAGGAAAGTGGAAAAGATCAGTCATTTATCTTCTAATAGCTGGATAATAGATCTATCACAACAAAACATCTGCACAAACCAGTAATTTTTTTCCACAAAATTGAAGCATTTACCATCATGAAATCAGTAAGTTAAGAAAACATTGTCTTACCCACACATTTAGCATCTGAACTAAAATATTACATTATTAACTGAAGATTGCTTCTAAAAAGATGAGTGCCCAGCTTTCTTTCCCCATTATGCCCAAATACACTGCTTTAGTGTAAGAGTAAGATCTTCATCACAAAGCCATCACCAATTCCTAGGATGATTTTTTAATCAAAAGAATGACACTGAGAAAGAATCTGCACTTCATCTAGTAGCCATGCAGTCTGCAAAAGAAATCTCTATACTCACGTATTTACATCTATACTCATATATTTGCATAAGGACTTTTCACCCCTAAGATGGAGTAATACAAAGTTACATGTCATCATTAAATTGTCCTACCAGAACAAGAAATTTATTACAACAAATCATAGAACAAGAAATTCATTATAAGAGAGAGGTATGTAGCCAAACAAAATAAAATCTGATCAAAGCTACAGATGTAAATCAGCAATTAATTTAGACATTTTTAATATACCCATCATCCATACTACCACGTCCCAACTACATTCTGCCTTTCCTTTACTGATGAAGTTTTTAATGTACCTGGGATACTGTAATTTAGACTGTGGAATGCAAGTCACAGATTTTTTTTTGCTTTACAGGTTTGGATAGCAGGCATGATTCCTTTCCAATGCCAACATGGATTTTATTTTTCTTTTACCTGCTGTAGCTCAGATATATATTTAATTAACTTGTTTTTCACTGTTGTTTACACAGCACTGTAAAATACACAGGCTGCTAACTACAGTCCTTCACAAAAAAACTCATGCAACAAATCTTGCCTTAAACCCTATGAGTCAAAGCTAGTTTATCACTGAACAGAAAAAACAGAATTAGAATGAAGCAGTACAGAACTGACTAAAAGAAAAGGGAACTAGTTTGCTCTAAAACACCCAGTTATACTTTCACAGATGACTAGCCCTCTTACTTTCATAGAAAATTATTTTAGCATAGAATACAAGCATGCTCTTATCTTCCCTTCTACATAAAATTGCATCAGCTGTTCAACTACCTAGAATTACTAGAAAAATAGAAGGAGCAGGTATTAATGCTCTTGTACCTGCTTATCAAAATGAAAGGTACTTCTAAAACAAGGGTAATAACATATCTAGGAGCTTATAAGCTTCAATAATCAAAATACATGTAAACACCTTATCTGTTTAAAATTTAAATACCTTGCACAAAATCACAGATTTGTTGATAGACTCAAATTCCTAGTCAGCTACCCTCGAGGGTTTGTTAACAATGGCTTGCACTTGATAATTTTGCAGTTTAGATAACTGAAAGCTTGCATTTTAATGGAATCTTTGTGTTAAGACACTCAAGGAATAGAGTGATTTTTCATTTACCTCACCAGAAATTTTAATGAAGTGCTGGGTTAAGGTTAGATCTCATCTCATTTTAAGTTTTGCTTACCTCAGCTTATATTAAAATTTACTACTGATTGAGACCTAAAAAAATAAACAAATCCTATACAGTCTAAAAAAGGGCTTAATTTTACTGTAGTAAAATACCCCTCCAGATTATGTCTTGCTATTTCAAATGTAAAATGACTCTGGCTAATTGAAATACATTGTGTCTTTTCTGTGCAACAAAAACTGCATTAATAACACACACCCCAGCATGTTCTCTCTGCAAAAACTTCCTAGTTTACAGAAATTTAGAGGCATCTATACTTATTAGCTACTCTATCTCTAACCCAGAGATTACACCATTAAGCTTCAAAAAAAATTCTGCTAGAGGTCAAATAGCTACAGAATATAAAGAGATTTTGAGTAAAAGTTTACTTCTCATTAAAGTGCAGTCTCAACTATCATCTGAATATTAGCCTGTGTGACAGACTGGCATTTAAGAAACAAAGGGAAACGACAAAGGAAGTTAAGGCCATTGGAGGCCGATGGGAGTTTTTCTCCTGGCCAACAACTGGCCATATCTGAGAACTGACAGCAGTTTTGACCATTAAAAAAGTGAGATGACCCTGTGAACACCACCTTAAAACCTAAGCCTGGGAATTTTTTTCTCTTTTTTCTAGTTTTTGGCTTTGAAAGGTAGTGCCGCTGAGCTGAAACCTGGCACCATGAACACCTGCAGCTTGAGCAATATTTTAACCCTTTTACCACTCAGATGAGACTTGAAGCTTTAATCCTTTTTCCAGAGAGAGGGCAAGAGAGAGTGATCAATATATAAAGAGACAAAATAAACTATCAAAAACAGTGAAGAAAGGAATTAAGCTTCAGATGGGGGAAAGAAATAAGGAGATGCCGTAATAAGCTGAAATATTATTTTGTTAAAGCTATGGAGATGGACAATAGTGTTCTGAAAAAACTCTAATTCATGACAGAGTATTTTGGGAGGAATGGAGTATTTCAAAGCGTGGATCTAAGCAAATGGCAAAATAGTTGTGATCTTATGAGATGCTGAAATAAAAAGAAGTGTGAGTTGTTGAAGATTTGTGGCCCTTGAGAGACAAAGAGAAAACATCTGTTTCCAGAGATGATCAGAGAGACAAATGAAGAGAATTTTTGCCTTTGAATAACTGATCCTTAAAATGACACCCCTCGACTTTCAGCCCACGAGCACACCTCAGAGTAGTGTGAAATGGGAGGAAAGAACTGACAGCAGAGTTTTCCAGGCGGCTGGCATCAGAAAAACAGAAAGCCAAGAGAAAATGGTTTTCTTGTGAAAAACTGTATAGATTGACAAGAGAACTTCTTTTTCTCTACAAAGACTGATAAAAACACTATAGCAAAGTTTGGATTGTTTTAACCACCAGGTTTTTTTTTTGTCTCTATGTTGTCAATTAAACAAGAGAATGGTTGGATGGTGGGGAGAAAGGGTTTCTGGAAGTTTTATTCTGGTTTCTTATTCTTGTAGTTTTGTTAATAAACTTTCTTTATTCCTTTTAAGTTTTAAGCCTGTTTTGCCCTTCTCCTAATCCATATCTCACAGCAAGAAATGAGTTAAGTTTTCTAGTGATTTTTTAGCCAATGCTTTAAAACCATAGCAGACTGTTGTATACATAGTTGATGTTACTAATTATATTTTCCCTCCAAACATGTCCAGACCAAATGGATTTAAAAAAAATAAATTGAGTAAAAAAACCAAAAAAACAAAACAAAAAAAGTTATAATCAAAATAGTCAATAATCAGTCAACATTGGGTTATCTCAGATCCAGTGGTTGACATACAACATATTATGGCTTGTCTGAGAATTATCAGCCCTTAAGTACGTAGAAGTGCCAAAAGTAACTTGATATTTCCATCAGGTGAAAAAAAGGTGGAAAACCACAGATATTCAACTAAGTCACTAAGATTCTCCCACTCTTGTGAAAAAACTATTTAATGAACAAACTGATTTGTTGACATTAGATTAGAGCTAACAGGAGATGACAACTACTATCAATGTAAGGGAACAGCTCTGCATTTAATTAGAAGGAATCCAAAGATCAGTGTCAAGTAAAGATTTGTAGTTCTAGTTCTACATTATCACCCTACAAATTTCAGGCACCTTGACTGTCAAACAGGCAAGAGGAGCTGCAAAAAGCTGACACATACCACTAATCAAATACAGGCACTTCATAAGTCTACATAAAAGCTGCTGTTTTACAGTTTGGTCCCATTCGAAGAATTGCTATGGCAGCAAAGTGACCTAATTTTCTTCAGCAATACTGCAAAATACTTTCTAAAAATGTTTGTCTCTTTTAATGTATGTTGAAGAAGCTTTCTCTTTTAGGCTAAGTGTATGAAATGCAGCTTTCCTTAAAGAATTCAAAAAAATGAATCAATTTAACACAAATTTCCCCAGGATGCAGCCTTATTAAACCTATAAAGTCGCAAGCCTAAGGCCACATATGTACACATCTGTACTTAAGGACCACCTCCTTTAAGCAGCTGCATCTCCTCCGATTTTCAAGACTGAAACTAGCTACAAATGGCACTCTTGATTTCCCCACTGTGAGCAAATTGCTGTTTTACAATTAGAGGCAAAGAATAAGCTTATTCAGATTGGAGTTACCCGCTAAGAAAATACTTGTGTACTGTGCACATTCTGTTAGTAAATGTGGAGGCTTTCTGGGAACATTCAGTGGTATGTGACAAAAGATAACCACTTAAGATAAAGCTCTGCCATGCTAGACTAGTCCTTCAAAGCTATGAAAGACTGAAGAGAGATTGATCCATCTTAAACCACCACAAGCTGTGGAGTTCGGGATGAAAGAGCACGCTTAGATGCAGAGACTCTTGAAGAGAGATCTGTAAGTTTTCTCTCTGAAATAATTATTCTCCATGTTACTTCCCAAAATACTAGGACTTCTGAAGCTGAGATGTCAGCCCAGACTGGAGTCAGGTCTTGCTAGGGGATAGACAAAGAGGGATCAGAGGGAACAAAAAGTTGTAGCAGTTAACCATATGTCTCCAAACAAACACAGAAGACTTAAGCGTAGTCTATCACTTTTAGCTATTGCTTCAGCTGGTATCTCTACAAATGTGGTGCCCTATACTCAGTGTCACAGAGGCACCAAAATTGTACCACAGTCTAGGAAATTAACCCATTATCTCCTTATAAGTAATTCCAAATTCCAAGGAGATATAAACCTACTCTATACTTTTTTGTTAAAATAAATGTGTAAATGACTAGGCATGGGATAACCATTTACCATATAAGGCCTAGGAAACAGAGTACAATCTCAGGGATTTTACCTCTTTCTGGTAGCTTTTAGCCCTTTATTCCTCCACTGGTACTGACAACCTAATCCCACATTCACAGTCTACATGTATACAATGAGCATGAACCATGAAATAAAATATATGAAGAACCACAGCACGTGCAACTTCACACAAGCTCAAAGGCCTCTGTCAAGCCAAGCACAGATGCAGTCAGGAGACCTAACTGATCTACTGTCTGCTGAACCACTAAGCTCTATTCAGTTACCCTCCACTGGCCATCATAGGATTCTTTTAGTGAACAGCACCTTTTATGCTCTGAACACCTTGACTGTGCACTACAACCATAGAGAACGCAGTTGTGTTACAAAAACACTTGGCAAACAGCAGGTGAAACAACACACTATCTGGTACCTAGTAATACTTGCATTTGGTCAAAAAGGATTACATTCATTTAATTAGTGACCTGCACAAAAAGAACATAAAAATTTACAAATCTGGTTTCTCTTTGAAATCTAACTTTGATTCTTTGGTCAATTACCTTTCTAGTTTACAAGTGGGAAACTTATTTGCAAAATAAAATGAAATAAAGTATGTGACCACTGTGTGACATCCAGGAGTTCATATGGAAAACCTTCAGCTATATAGGGCAAGTAAAAATATAACAACAGTGTTAAATTTACAGAAATTATGCCAGAACATCTCTTATTTATCAGACTGGAAGTGGAGATACTGTAAAGAACAAACAACTGCACAACAAATATAATTTTGTAACAACTATACACACTGCAAGATAGATGGATGTCAATTGGCACACTGTGCATCATACTCAAGTAATTGATTCTTAAAGTACTACAAACTAATTGAAATTATCAAAATAATTTCCCAATGAAAAAGTGCATATGAAAATTTATACAGGAACACTTGCACACTGATTTGTTTTATAACTTTAATTTTCAAAATAAAGTTTAAAGAACCATACACAAAACACTAACAAAAACATTAATTAACAGACTCATGATGCAAGTAAAATTAGATCTTATTAAAAGACAGTCATTATTACAGTCATACTATAAATGCATAAATACACAATGATACTTCTGTCTAAAAACATACAAAATCACATTGGCAAGGGTTAGGAAAGGGTATTATTGCTGAATGATAGTCTTGGGAGTAAACTCTAAAAATATATACATGTGTCACAAAAACTATTTCTTACCGTACTTCTATCCTTTAAAAGCTTTTCTATCACTTCAATCAGCATTTCCTTTTGGTCTGGGTCAAGACTAGAAAGAAAAATAAAATTATTTTAACTAATTTGGTCACATGTATCTAAAATTAAAGCAGGTTTGGTTTTTTGGCCTTTAAACACAAACTAGGAACAAAGAACTTTGAAGAAACCACTTCCAGGAAAATCAAGGATTCCAAAGAAGTCATTGCAAAAGAACTTGACTGAAAATAAGTCAGGAGTATTAAATTATAAATATTATTTTATCTTGTACCCTTTATGTGTGTTCTACAGGAAACTTAAACTCATAAAAAAACTAGCATTTAAGAAACATTAAGACAGGCCAACCAACACAGAGAACTTGACTGAACTTCAGATGTTAAGTGACAAGGTTCTCACTGCTTTTGCAGAAGTGAATTTCAGCATGAATGTAATTCAGCAGTGAATGAACATCAGGACAAAGAAGATTTATAGTTTTATTACCTAATTATCAACATAAAGCTTTGAGTAAGACAGTTCAACCACTTTTAAGTTAACCACCAATTTTAGTTAGAAGTATTGGAACTCAAATGTCCACATCTGTATTCAAGTGTACCTATAAAAAGCAGGGGGGCAAGCTAATGAAAACAGACTGTTTGAAGTCCTACATAAATAGCAAAAGCAGAAGATAAACAAAAGTTGCAAGCAACAACCTTCATAGTATCTTTTCAGGTTACAAGAGCAGAGAAAAATTTGCCAGAGATATCCACTATTGTCAAACTTGCTTCTTAGGCAAGTAAGGACAAACCTTTCAGTCCAGCTACTTCCTCTTCATGGATCTATACAGCACAGAAAAATTTAAAGCCAAATCAAAAGAAAATAGAAAGAAAAAGTGAGTACAAAGACCCTTAGAGATGTGTAGTTATATGCCTTTGAAAAGTCACTTCAACATGGATACAATTACAGATAAGTGAGGGAGTATTTGGTCATTATCGTATACTTCAGTTCTAATGCTGAGTGATGGACTGCCCTAATACACTGTATATCCCTCCAGCTACAGATTCACGAAATAATTATCTGCCTGAATACTACTTCACTAAGGCTCTAAGACGTAGCAATATTGGAATATGCAAAATGCATCACAAAACTTTGTTAGAAGCCACCATCATCATAAGCAACTAAACAGTACATTGTTCCATAACTACTTTATGGTCACCTTTCATTCTAACTTCTATTTTTGTAAAAAGATCTGGATCTGGATTTGGATCTTCTGCCAACGACCAAAACCTTCCCAGGAAAAGTTATAAGTCTTTCAAAGCTATAAGTCTTATTTCAAATTTTAAAAACTGGCAGAAAATTTAGAGAGAAAAAATACTTAAAGCTAAAAAACATGAGCAAAACAATTTCTTTTATGTGATCAAAAAGGTCTTCAGTAAGGGGTCCAATGAGTGAATTTATATTCCTCCCCCCTCTACTGTCCTGATATTTAAGACAAGGACGGGACCATTTTCAGAGAAAAAATAAAAGAGGCTAAAGAGATCTGTGATTTGCTCCCATTATGGCATCTAATGCCAGTACGGAACCTATTAATACTAGTGATGGGAGTAGTAATCATTAGATTTCAGCATTTTCCAGTTTTGCACCAATTACCAATGAACTCCTCAATCTGTGAGTAAAATAAACTTCACTGTCATGAAGAGAAGAAATTGAGGCATCAATTTCAGTTAAAATTGCATGAAATTGCCTGCTGTCCAAATGGACAATTGCTGCCACTATCAGACCATTTTCTCCTGCTGAACTCCTCCAAAGAGCTTTAATTCTATCAGGGAGAAAAAAAACAAACAAAAAAACAAACCAGCAAAAAAGGGCATTCTATATATAGAGAATAATTCATGCCAAAAAGTTTTTGTGTACTGGAACCAGTTGCTAAGAAAGAATCAACTACTCAAATAGCAGGAAGAGACTTTAAATCCATTCTCTTTTATTAAGTTACACGATAAAGGGGCATCACATGACAGCACTCAGCTCACTAAAAAAGCCCATGAAGATCACCAGAAGGAAGGAGTCCCTGCCCAGGTTTGTCAGAGAGCTGCCATGGAAAAGCCATCAGCCCCTTGGTCCTGAAATGAACACACCGTAAGGCAGGATCTCCAAAGTACCTTTAAGACTTACGGATATTACTAGTTACATGGCTAAGACTTACTATGAATGCCAGTAAGACAAGAGGTACTATGGGTTTATGGGAGAAGTGAAAGGGAGGGAAACAGAGGGATGCAAGTGATCTTGGGAGGAACAAGAACAGGAAAACAGAGGGAGAAGTGCATAAAAGGAGCCAGTTGTATATAAATGCTTTGTTACTCAGTACACTGTGGCAGTTTGGCATTTAGGGAAAGAAGTGGAAAACACCCACGGAAGTGACTTCTCTGAGAGAGGCTGCTGGGAGTTTCCTCTCTGCTTGAGATAAGGCCAATAGCTGGCCAATCCTGAGAACGGTCAGCATTTTGCACCACTGAAGAGTCAGTTCACCTTTGTGAATATCACCTTTTAAAAACCCAAGCCCGGGAACTTCTCTCTTTCTTTCTCGCCTTGAAAGGTACCAGAACCCTGGAGCGGCTTGCCCTGCTCCTCCACAGGCTGTGCAACCTGGGAGAGGGGGACTGAGCCAGACTCCAGCAGCTCCCAGGCAGGGGATGGAGACTGCAGGGCATCCCCCAGGCCAGGCCAGGCTGTACTGCAGCACTGGCTTCTCCCAAGAAGCCCTCCAAGTCCCGTTCTGGAGGGGTGGCCGAAGCTCTTCCTGGCAGGGGGCCCCCAGACAGCTGTTGATACTCGCTGACACTCCCCCCACCACTGCCTGCACAGGCAGCTCCAGGCCGAAAACTGTCTGGTCTCTCTAAGCAGCTGCTGGGCTGAGAGAGACACCTGAAATCCAACACCATAAATGCCTGCTGTGGCTTGGGTCAGATTTTAACCCTTTCACTAAACAGGTGAGACCGCAGACTTTAATCCCCTCTCCAGAGAGAGGAAAGTGGGAGTGATCGACACGTAAGAGACAACATGAAACATCAAGATCAGTAAAAGAAAGAGTCAAGCTTCAGATGGAGGGAGAATGCAGAGATGCTTTAATAAACTGAAATATTATTTCAGTAGGGCCATGGAGATGGACAATAATGTTCTGAAAATCTCCTTTAATTTGTTAAAGAGTACTAGGGGGATGAAGTATTCAAGCTGTAGATATGACCAAAGGTATCCACTGATGAAGCTGAGAAGATGGTGGAATAGCTGTGATCCCATGAGATGCTTGAACAGAGAAATTAGAGCTGATGAAGACCCTGTGCCCCCAGGGAGAGAGGAAGAAAACCTCTGCTCCCAGAGATGATCACAGAAACGAGATCACATGATCACAGATCCACAGATGAAGAGAATCTTTCCCTTTGAATAACTCATCCTTAAAATAATACCTCTTGAGTTCATGGCCCATGAACACACCTCTGAGTGGTGTGAAAATGGGAGGAGGGCATGATGGCAGAGTTTTTGCCTGGGCGGCTGCCAGTCATAGAATGAAAAGCCACAAGAAAACTGTTTCTTGTGGAGAACTCTCCATGGAATGTCAAGGGAAAACTCCTCTCAGTACAGAGACTGATGAAAAGACTATTTATTGTATAGTTGGTACTGCTTTAACATCCCAGGTTTTGTCTCTTATGTTGTCAGTTGGGAAAAGAAAGGTTGGGTGTGAAGGAAAGGCTTCTGGAGGTTTTATTCTGGTTTCTTATTCTTATGGTCCTGTTAATAAAGTTTTTTTATTCCTTTTAAGTTTTAAGCCTGTTTTGCCCTTCTCCTAATGCGTATCTCACAGCAAAAAATGAGTAAGTACCTTGGTGATTTTAGCTAGTGCTAAAACCCATCACATACACTTATCTATCCATGCTGTGAACCTGATGACTACAGAGGCAGGCTCTATTGTGTGTGCATGTGTGATACAGAAGAGTTAAACCATGGGATATACAGGCCTGTACAACTGCAGCACCAGCAATGAGAACAAGCATGTATGTCATCACTGAGTGACTGCCTGAGGATATCAAACCAAATTAGGTGGCTTGGGAAGCCCACTATTGAAGTGAGGCCATAGATCGAGGCCGGACATCTGTATGTGTGTCTGAGTGCAACAACTGGAGATTTTGTCTACCAGACAGCCCAGGGTATTCATGCAAACTACAGAAGAAACAGTAAGGTCTGGAAGTCTGTTGAGACATCCATTTGAGTGTCTCAATCTCTGTTTCTCTCATCACTTCCTCTCCACCTAACTCAAGAGAGATAAAAATGTATATGAGCCCCTCACAGCAAAGTCTTAGTGTCTAAATCCAGATACTGTGGGATTCATTAGTGTTCAAGCAAAAGAGCTGGGCATGTGACCTTCTGACTAAGGGAATCTGCAGCAGAAAGTGCAGAAGGTTTGAAAGCAGTGTCCATTTGTGTGTGCCCCTGACTGGGAGACTGGGGATCAAAAGCCTTTTACTGGAAACACTGAGCATCTAGGGTTAGTATTAGGGATCCATATTGCACACATCCAGGCACACAAATGTGTCTGTATACTGATCAGCCAGAGTGCAACAGAGTAAGGCTGCTGGTATTGTCTGCATGACTGCTCACGTCTGACTCTGGTGATCTGTATAGATAGCTTCGTGTATTTGTGTTTTATATGTAATCATGTCTACATGCCCATTAGGAATGCATGCTCAGAGCTGTGACTTGGTGGTCTGAAGTGGCATGGAATTGTAGCAGCCTCAGGTTACCTGATTAAGAACCTCTAGTGTCTCTCAACTTCCACTTTTTGGCATAGATGAAATAAAAGCAGTAGAATAAATGCCTGGAGATGTTTTGCAAAGGTACAGGTTCTGTTGACTCCACTTCTGCAAACCAGTAGCCATTTATATATATATATAAGAATTTCTGAAGTAGGAAGATTGGAAAGATTTGGATTTGCACAGATAAAATTTCTAAAAGTTAGCATTCTTTTGTCATGTGTGCCACATAAATGATACAGACTTGAAACAGTGAATTCATAGATACTGAGAATACCCATCAAAACAGTTGTTACTGTTATAGAAGGAAATAACTAGTATATTAAAAATAAAAGATAGTGTATCAGTTTATTTTTGTATCTCTTTATAGTTATGCTGTTAAGCCTAGCAAACAAGGGAATTCCCAGAATTACAACCAAACCAGTTGAATGACAGAATGTCTTCACACACCCCATACTTTTAAAGAAATTGATCTGAGACATGCCAAAGTCACAGTAGCCTTTATAAATGTAGCCCACAACTGTCATAACGTTGTTTTTCAGTAATTGCCAGAATCACTTACCTGTACAGTTTTTGGATGGCATGGGCTGCATTCTTTCTCACATAAGGAGATAAATCAGAAGAAGCTTCCTTAATAGCAAGCATCATAATAGGAACAATAATTGGGACACGTATACTGGATAAAACTCTTAAAGCACTTGCACGGATTAACTGATTAGGATCCTAAAGAACAGGGGTGAAGGGGAGAAATAAAATAAGACAGTGCAGAAACAAAACATTAAATCTACTGCTGTGTTTACACTGATTAGTGATGACACATTAAAACATGTAAATCTAAGTCAGACTTACAAGTGAAGACCATGCTAATAAAGAAAAACCACAAAGAAATAAAAAAAAAAAGCAAAATTAATTAAGAAAGAGAACATTAAATATTATAAAAATATGAAAATTTCACAAAGTAAATCATTAACATAAAAAATACGCTAATTATGGATAAAAAAGACTAATATTTAATTTAATAATCTGATACATTTGCTGCAATCCAAGTAGAATTCAGATACTCTGAGAGACACACTACCTCAATTTTATTACTTATATTTATGAAATGCCAATAAAAACATTGTTCTCAGTTGTGACATTCCCATTCAAGTTCTTGGCAAAATATCCATATTATGCTTTACTGCAAGAAATAAACTGAAGCCAGTAAAAAAACAATTTTAAGGAACATGTCAAAAGGTAAGTGTTTTGAGATTTTTTTCTATTTCTTATCCTCTCTTCTTTTGCCTCAGTCCTTGGTCAGTTTTACAATACTAGGGTTAGCTTGGAGATACAACATATCTGTAATTGGATGAACTGTTATGTAAACTTTATCCATTAATCACGGGCTTGGAACACAAGGGGAAAATGTTGCTTAATCAAGTACTAAATCCCCCAAAATCTAGCAAAGTGAAATTCCAGCATCATTAATTCATTATAATGCACATAGTCTTGCCAGAAGGTAATCTCCCAAAGAATATTTCTCCTAAGGACTGAGAGCTGGCAACACATATTTACAGACTGGTATTACCTAATTATCAATTCATCTAAGATCTCAATATTCCTACCTCTTAGAAGGTTCTAAATAGTAAGTATCTGCATGGAGAAAGCCCTTTATTTGACCATTTTTGGAAAAATATCTTGTTCCTACCATAGTTTGCAAGGCCATCTGCAGCCACTTAAGTTGAAAATAAAAAGTTCCTTTGATAGAGGGAGGTAAAAAAAACATCTCCACACATAAAGTGAAATTATAATCATTACAAAATAAGAAACAAAACATTACAGGAAATGAACAGAAACCTATCTTTCATAGCAGGCTTAGTAATTTCTTTAGTTGCTGACAATCTCCCCTAGTTTGGTGTCTACACCTTTGCCACACCACCAGTTGCTCTTTTTGCTATTCAGCCACAACATTATCACTCTTCTCTCTGCTCTCATTACCCACAGATTTTTAAACAGTTATGCCATGAAGGGTGTTCACTGTATACATGTATCACGAAAAATACTGGATACAAAGTCATTTGTATTCAAGCTTTCCACGCAGTCAGAGATAGTGAAGGCAGTACATATGATACTGGAATGAAAGTTCAAGGGAAGTGGGCAGAAAACTATTCAGTCGACGTGGGATCCCTCTACAGCTGCACAGATGGTGCTCTGAGTACAACATTTCCCATCAAAATGCAAGGTGTGGGTTAAGTGACGTAACAGAAATGAGCCTAGAGTACAAGAAGGGTACAAAGAAAACCTAATCTCTTATTATCAAAACAGGCAAACTTTCAGAACAGAAACTTAATCAATCTTTCTTCTCTCCACAGTCACACTTCAAAGGCAATCCTAAAGTTTGCTGACTAATTCAATTTATCACTGTTATCTCATCTGAAACAAAAGAGTAGAAAAGACTATTTTTTCAGTGCTTTTAATGAAAAAGTACCATGTGACTGACATTATTACAATAATAATAATATAGAATAAATTAGAATATTCAAACACTGAATATTTTAATTTAAGTACTACTGTCTTCCTTATGTTTCAATTCTCTGTTGTACACAAAGCTCTTTCTTTTACATCAATTAAAAGGAACATAGGTGGCTCATGGTAATAACAGGGTCTTTGTCCATACATGTAAGTTATATTGGAATGAGGAAAGTCATTCCAGAAATTAAATGGTTGGAAATTAAATGATTTGAAAGCACCATTCTTCTGCTTTTCTTAAGTGAAGTGATTTTACTTCTTTCAAGCTTACTTAGCTGCTTGACAAAGTTTGAGGTTGCAGAGAAAAACCAGGCCAATCACATAACTTAAAACTACTTTATCAGATTTAGATATTTACATGTTTTAGTTCACCATACTACACTTACACAGGTATTTTTATTTTTGTGCTCCCAGCTCAGAATTCCCTATAAAATGTTATTTAGTAGTCACTCACTTTTAAAGCACGCTGGAAAGTACTGATGGACAATAATGCTAGATCTTGCTGCTCCTCTGCATAGCGCATCAGATAAACGTACACAAGCTTTTTTATCTGAAAAGAAAAAGCACAGTGAATATCACTATGAAAAGGTCTTAGAATTCTATAAAACTAGCTTCTAAGTTTCCCAGTTTTATCAACATTTTCTTCTTTGAAGAAAAAGCTAATAGATCCCTGGAGCACTCACGCACTTCTCCAGTATCTTACAAAACACCTGAGGTGCTGCAATGCTACCTAATTAATGAAACAGTCAGATGAAGGCTAGTAACCCAAAGTTCTGCTTTATATTGTTAACTAGTAACTCAAGACTATAATAATCTAAGATGGAGAAACTGATCACTTGAGCACACTCTTTTTTTCTTATAGAAAATAGGTTAAAGTGCAATAGTCAAGAATTTCAACAAGTCCATTTTATTTTACCCTGACACTCAAAATAAATAACTTTAACATGTTTGAAAGTGGAAACAACTTACTGAAGTGTGGTAACTTACCCATCTCAAATCTGATTAAAAGGGCACTTATCTTGGATGAAAATAAAGGATGTTAGATTTATGTCTGCATGACTACAAGCGTTCAAAAGATGCAATATAAGCATACTACAAAGGATACAATGTCCAAAGGTTAAGAAAACCTCAGTATGATTTTGGGGAGAAGGGTATTCAATTTAGTTCACTTTACCACTCATACCCAGAAAGAGTGAAAATGTTTTTTTACATTTGAGTAGTTAATTGACTGTTGGGGTTTATAATGGAAAATTCTGAAAGACCCTCAACTACAGCTGTGCAAATAATTACTGTCACTATCAGAAGACCTATCTTTGTGCCAATTCTGGCAAAAAAACATAATATTAAATCACAGAAGGTTATACCATACTAAATTATTTTTTGTTCAGCTGTAGAGAAGTAGCAATCAACATTGACCACAAGAGGCCTGTGCACTGAATGACTGCAGGTGTGCAAAGAAAGCCTCCTTTCCTTGAAACCACTCTGTGACTAGAAATGGAAGCACTCAGAGCTTCGTGACTACACTAGTCTTTTACCATTTACCTTCATTCAATGTTAAAATGTTCTGTTCTATAAAGCTAATCATAACAGTGGCACATTAGGCTTGAGGAACACAGGCAGATTTGTTTAATTAATTTATCAATATAAGCAAATAAAAATCCATGAATTATTGATAAAGACTTACTTTTGTTCTATACCACCAATTGTTTATTAGGTCACTTTTTGTATCCTTACCATCCATGACTTGATGCACATAACCAAGCTGAGGTCAGTATGCATTTACAACCAAAAAAATCATAAGGCACTTCTGTAAACAATAAGATGCCCTTCGCTTCTCTTTAAATAAATTAACATGCTATACCACTTCTTAATCTCCATTTTCCTGGATCAGAGCACTGAGCCCTGATTTAAAAATCCAAACTTAGGACTCAGAGAAAGGATATGCTGTCACAGTCCTCTGAGAACAACCTCAGGAGAGCCTCAGCTCCCATGCCCAGGTGTTAAAACCTCCAAGAGTCAACAAAAACCAGAGCAACTTCCAGACTGAAGGTGTTTTATGTGTACAGAAATGGGACACATACGAAAAGTATTTTAGACATGGGATGTTCTGGGGAAGAACTAAAGTGAAGGAGAAGCAAGGGAAATCTATATGATCTGGAAAGAATTAAGTCAGGGAAAAACAGAAGGGTAAGATGGCTGAACAGTTTGATAATTGGTACATCTATCCTTCTGTTCCCTGCACATGAATAGTAAAATCTGTTGCATTGACTCATTACATTTAATTCTAAACTATTTTCCTTGGTGAGGTACTCTTTATTCAGTGTGAAGATGTGTTTACATGCCTGCAGCTACAGTCAGGACACAGGCTGGAGGGCTGCTGTTGGGCACCAGCCACTAGAAAGACCAGAGTGACGGGACTTAAGAATGACTCCAGCAACTGCAATGTGACAAAGCCATAGGGATCTCTAAGTGCAGGGTGGCCAGGATCTGGAACAACTGAGGGTCTAGCTGCCAACAGTTAAGCTGGGACCACAGGCTAGACAGTCCATGGGCATGCATGTAACTGAAGAGACCAGAATATGTGAAATCAAGCACAAGCCAAGATGTCTGTGGTGCCAGTGACTGGAATGGGTGCAGGTATATGACTGCATCAAGCTGCACCAGCTAACAAGTAGGTGAAGTGGCCTGGGAAGGAAGTAGATGTGGGTCTGAGCATCTAAGGGCAAGAGCATAGGAGGAGCTGGCTATGGCATAGACCACTGAAGTCCCATCCAGCTGCAAGGAAAGCTCATGGCCTGTGGGTCTCTAGAGCAAAGAACCATAGCTTTTTTTGTGCATCTCTTCAAGGGCATGACAAGAGGGGTTTAGATTATAGAGGAGCAAGGATGTTCTGGAGAGATCTAGCTGTACATGTGCACAGGTGCACACACCTGTGCGTCCAAGGCTGAATCCATGAGGGAGCAGGAGAGTCCTGGTTTACAGGCATTCATATGTGTAAAGATGTTTGTACCAGCAAATGAAAAAGGGATACAGCCTTAGGGGCTCATATGTCCAGGTGCCATCAGCAGTGGTGGCTGAGATCCATGGGCCAGATACTGGGCAGAGTGTGGATGAACGCTGTATATATATATATATATACACATTCCCACCAGCACACCATCTTGAACTGCCAATCTGCTGGTGTTGAGTTCACCTGAATACCCTGTGACTGTTGGTGTGGTTGCCTCTGTACATACATATTTATTCTATGTATGTACAGATATAATATTTATGCATATGTGCACACCTACTGAGGGATACAGTCTCAGCTTCACTACTGAAGTAGGCTTAAAGGCTGGAACTGGGACAATCTTGACTCTATCAGAGGAACTAGAGGTTCCAGCCCTAACAGTTAAAAGCACTCCAGACTGATAATATTAAGGCACCCCTCTTTGTGTAAGGTCTTGTTTAAAACTGGACTTAAGACTATTTATAACTTACAAACTCAAATTACAGTGGAACAGAATATTTAACTAGTCTGATTTCTCATCCCATATCTTTTTACTGCCTATTACTAAAAGTACAATTACAACTTCTAAAATTATTTTAATAGAGTAAATTTCTGAAATACTCTGAATTAGCATCTTTGCATATTTACACCTCCTTGACTTACCAGAGCTCAATATTTGGCTTTGGCCAAATATATACACTCTCTCAAAGAAAAAAAACCCAAAAGTTTTCATAGTAACTAAAAAAGAATAATTTCTTTAAAGCTACAATTAAACTCAAACTTGACTATTACTATCCATCCATGTAAATACGGAAGAAAACTGATGTTTTATCCATTATATCACAGCATGTTAGAGTGAGAAAGGGATTTACTGAAGCCATTATCATAGGAAATATAATCATCAGTGCCATAAGTCAGGGAAAAGTATTTTTTTTGTTCCCATTAATAACAAAGACTGAAGTACACATTTTCAGAAGAGGACAGAAGAACTGAAGCATACCTCTCCTTAAAATACAATACTTCATACAACTACTGTTGCCCAGATTTTTCAGAAATTACAATGCTGAACAGTAGGAAGAAACTAAAGTCATTACATGTTCACCCTACTTTCCTCAAACTGATGCTTGTTAGGCATCATGAGGTCTCAAACTATAAACTTACAGATGCTATTTTTATCGAAATCTCATTTGTCAAGTCAACTATAACTCTGACATTTCTGCAGGGAGGCTGTCAAATTATGCACAGTAATGCTAGTGGGCATCAAAGTCACATTTTCTACATACACCCTGTGGTTATACAACAGTAACCCTGTGGATTTAAACACATCATCGTTTAACACAACTTCAATTTTTTCACATTCTGGAAATCTTAATTTTCACTAGTCTAAGATAGATTTTTTTTTTTTTCCCCCCTTGCTTTCTTACAAGAAATGAAAAAAAAAAAAAAATTAAAAAATACAGAAGCAAGCTACTTTGTGTGTCCATTAATAGCCAATATAGATGTAAGAACACACTTTTTTTACCCAGTCATTACCTTTCAGCTTTGATTTGCAACAAATTTAAAAATAGAATGTAGCACAAGCACAAGCTTTGCAAAAAGCACCATACTTCAAATAAACTATAACAACTTTTCTCAATTAACACCATACTTCAAAACTTTCTAAAATTAAGTAATTTTTTAAAAAGTGTAAAGAGCTGTAAAGATTCATTCTTCCAAATCACCCAACAGGTTCCCTTTATTTATGCATATATTTATTATCATAATGTCCTTATTGAAATAAACTCCTAAAAAGTTCCATTAATGACACTGAAGATTTTATGCTTTATGTTGAAGTCTAATACAATTAGATAAAATTCTCATAAACAAATTTTCCATAACAGTATGCTTAACAAGTTAGAGGAATACCTCAATATTTTTACTGGCAACATTCTTCACAACAGCAGGAAACAGCTCAGAAGCATTTTTTCCCTTTGCAATCATCTGAAATAAAAGGAGACAAATCTTAGTAATGTAAAGATATAATTTCTTAGAATGTGGTTTGGGTTTTGTTGCTTTATTAAAGATCTGTATTTCAAATCTTATTTCTGTGAAATTGAAACTAAAGATGCAGGTTTGTTAATTATTAGACCTTCCAGGATATAATCCATAGAATAAAAACTCTGGGGCACTGGCTGATTATGAGTTTGCAGGAGTGGAATCCATGAACTGGACTTTAACATATAAGCAAATAATTTTTAATGCTTTCAAAACTACTAGAAACAAAGACACTGCTAATCCGAAAAGCCCTGAAGAATTACCTTTTGGGAGCTGGAGGGAAAAAAAAGGCACCCAACAACCCAATAAAATCCTAGAAGTTATTTAAGTCTAAGTCCCGTTCCTTTTCCCTGGAAGAACTGTGATTTGCAACACAACCAAGGAGAAAAACAAAAATAAACGTCACACTTTAAAAACAAAATAAGGTTATTTTCCATAGCTAGTTAAACACAGAAGGCCATTAAGTGTTTATACAGAACAAAAAAGAATATACAAAAGTCACATGGTAGAAGCAAGATCAATCAACACCAATTAATTTTTTTTTTGTGAAAGGAAGTTTCCATGTTTGATCATGAACAAGGTATGTCACAAACAGTAAAATTGTCAAAATAAAGATCATAAACATCAAAAGCTGGGTTTAGCTTCTATTCTTATACAAACAGCTTAAGAAGGAAGTTATTTCTAGGAAACCGGGTACACTAAAAGGAATTAAATACTTTCATATACACTATAGCTGCACAGTGTTCTGCTCTAGATATAATTCCAGTAGAATGTCTGGCAGTGCTTTATGTCTAAACTGAAAACCCAGGAATTTCAGGATCATGTTACATCAAGTTACATCAAGTTCAGTGCTGCTGAATACACACCCAGAGCACTCCCAGCTCTAAGAATCTGTTTCTTGCTCAAGGTCAAGATTCAGGCGGCCAAACATCCAAGTTAATCAGAAAACACAAAATCTAGCTAAAAAATCATAGAACAGTGACCTTTAAAAGTCATCTAGTCCTGCAGCAAGCAGGAACATCTGCAAGATGTTTAGAGATCACGTGGCTCAAAGCCCCACCATGTTTCCAAGGATGGGGTACTCACCATGCCTCTGGGCAACCTGTCCCAGAGTTTTACCACCATCATGGTAAAATCTTCTTCCTTGTATCTAATCTAAAGCAACTGTCTTTTATTTTAAAACCATCTCCCCTCATCCAGTCATCACAGGTCCTACTGGAAAGTCCCTCCCCAGCTTTCTCAGAGACACTTTTATATACTGAAGGGTGCTATAAGGTCTCCCCAGAGCCCTCTCTTCTTCCGGCTGAATAACTCTCTCAGCCTGCCCTCACAGGAGAGGTGCTGCAGCCTTCAGATCCTTTTGGTGGCCTGCTCTGGACCTGCTGTAACATATCCGTTTTTCCTGTCCTGAGGACTGCAGAACTGTACTGTATGCAGCTCTTCAGGCTGGGACTCTGGCACGAGTGGAGAGTGGAGGACCATCATCTTCCTCAATCTGCTGGCCACACTTTCTGGGCCATTAGTGAACACTGTCAGCTCACAACCACCATTTCATCCACCAGCATGCCCAAGTCCTTCTTGCTGGAACTGCTCTTGATCCCCTCAACCACCAACCCCTGCTGATACTGGGGGCTGCCCTGACCCAAGGGCTGGACATTGTACTTGGCCTTGTTGAGCCCCATGATATTGCCACAGGTTCACATCAAAAGTCTGTCCAGATCACTCTGGATGGTATCCCATCCCTCACGCGTGTCAAGTGTGCCACACTTGTATCGCCTGCAGATTTGGCAAAGGTGCACTCAATCCCACCATCTATGTCATTAATGAAGATATCAAATATTACTGGTCCCAGTACAGACCCCTGAGTGACACTTCTTGTCACCAATGTCCATTGGGGTAAAACATATATAAGCTACAACAAATATGCAGGGATCCAACAAAGAAAGAAGAGCTCTGCAGCTACAGTTACTCCTGTCCATAACTGTTACATTCCAGCCATTATTCAACATTATACAGCTGATTAAACTTCATATTCTCAACTCTCAAGATCTGTTTGTGTATTTCATTGCTAAAACTCAATAAAAGCATAGAGTTAGGATCTCATGCAACACAAGCGAAAACACACAAAGCCAGGCAATACCTGGTAAACTGTATATTCTGAGAAGCTTAGAAGAAGGATGCTGAAAAGACGGCAGCTGTAGTTCAGGCTATTACTCAGTTTTTCAAAAGGGTGTTAAGAGCAGGTGTCCAGCATGACATTTTGATCTAAACAATTTAACATCTTAAACTGTTTATTTCACCTGCACTAAAACACAGGAAGTGATACAGGCACTGTGAAAAAGCAAGCACATGAAATGAGTTCCAATGGGTTTTTAACGAAGAATCTAAAATCAATTTCCTACTTTTACGACTGGGGGAGGGGGGGCACAGAAATGCCAAATTCAGAATGACAAGGCAGAACTTAGCAATAAGATGCAGAGAAGTAAGACAGAATGAAAAATTACCACCTTGGCGCAACAGAACTTACAATAGTCACAAACAGGGATGATCCTCAGATGTCCCTGACAGACGGTAATCGTATAGCCCTATGCATTGCTGGGATTATTTAGCTGATCTACTGTAATAGCTCTGTAATAGCTCATGTGAATATGTATTTAAGATCTTTTGAAAGAGTGTATTTGGATTCTTTATTGCAGAACGATTTGTGTAGATCCTCCCTAGCTCATGGATCATTAGCCATAAAGACTGTAATGGTTCTTTCCAAGACTAAGGTCTATCAGGTCGTTTTTGTTGCGGTGCCTAGACATTCTCCATTTGTGTTGTCTTTCATGTGTCTTAAGTCTCTGGAGTTCCTGCACAAAAAAAAAAACTTTCATTCTAGACTAAGTGCTGTGTATTGTCAAAATGTACTAACATTTTTTTTTTTCCATGTGAGAGACACACAGACATGGATGATACTCTCTGAGGGAAACCAGGCATGTTTCCTAAACTTATGCTCTGAAATCTTCAGGAGTGAAATTCCACTGATTTTTTTCCCCAGAAATTCAAACAGGTTTCAAGATCTGGTACTGGTTCAGCTTTATGTTTTCATGCATGTAGTAGAATATGTATACACAAAAATTTGTTTTTAAACCAGCAGTGTTCGTATTCTTCCAAAGACTGCATTTTTTATTGCATGCATATAAGGAGAAACATGCAAAATAACATACTGATTTAAAGAAAAAAAAAAAGCCATTGATCGTGGAAATCATATTTTAGCTGAAAGTAGGTTTAGGTACCTTCATGCATAAGGGACAAGTGAAAGGATCAAAACTGGACTACTCCTATGTATGAAATTATATTGTTTTAAATCACTCTCTGGAAGACAGATTTGGTTTTATTTGTAATGAATCTTCCTCTCTCTAGGAGAAAGTTCACAAAACACTTAAAGGAGGAAGCAGCTGCAAAAAGCACTATAACCAGCATTCTCCTGCTTTCTATCATGCCTATATGAACAAATGAAGGTTTAACTCCTTAAAGTCTACTAAAATAATAAGGTAACTGTTAGTATCATAGAATTATAGCAATACAGAACAGTTTAGGTTGGCAGGGCTTTTAAAGACTAACCCCTCTACTGAGGTTAGGGATGCCTTACTGCACATCTCCCCTGTGAGGAAAGGCTGAGAGAATTGGGACTGTACAGCCTAGAGAAGAGAAGGCTCTGGGGAGACCTTATAGCACCTTCCAGTATGTAAAGGGGGATAAAAGAGAGCTGGAGAGGGACTTGTATTACTTGGCATGTAATGACAGGACAAGGGATAACAGCTTTAAGCTGACAAGTTTACACTAGATGTTAGAAAAAAATCATTGTGAGGGTGGTGAGGCAGTAAAACAGGTTGGCCAGGGAAGTTTTGGATCCTGTATGCACAGTTTTTTCAACTATCTAAAACTTTGAAAATAAGCATTCCAGTGAGACATGTTAAACAATACTCTGACAACAGAGTTCCTTTTTCCTCTAATAATAAGGCTAGAGGAAGTCTTTCATCTCTGAAAAACACATCTCAGCCCTGAGAGATGTAAGCTCCTCTCCATATATAAGCACAGAAGCACCTTTGTGCTCCACAAGAACATTATCACCACTCTTAAGAGGCCTTATGCTCATATTGCGCAATGTCCCAGTCCTGACCTGTAAAGCTCATTGTCTGAGTTTGCTATGTCAACCATAGGTTGGTTCCAGGTATCAGCTGTCTGACACACTGTAAACTTAGCACAGGAAACAGCAAATACCTTGAAGATATGAGAGACTGAAAACAGAGGATTCAGTAAATCAAACAACTCACTTGTGGTTAAATAATGGTCAGCCTTACAAGCTAGAAGGCTGTTTCTACTTTAAGCAGCAGCAGCTGAGCAAGGTAAAAATATCCAAAAATCAGAAGGTGCCCACTGCCATTTGAGGAAGTAGTACTCTTCCTGCAGTACAAAGTGCTTAGAACAGAAACAGAAACCAACGACATGAACTTAAAAAAGGAAAGAAATCTGGTAGTGGAAACTGGAGAGAATTGCCAGAATTGGAAAATGGGGGAGCACAAGAAAGAATGCGCCCAATTAGTTCTACCATCCGTTGCTGAAGACCTCTTGAGCCTGATCACTTCAGCCTAAGTCTGTCAAGGATCACAGCTATTACTGCTAACTACACATCTCCAGCTTCATGGTATCACACGCTTCCAGAAAATTAAAGAAGCTGTTAAGAACTCTTTTGAATGCTCAGCAGCAGCACGTATTTAAAATGGTTTGCTCATTGCACGCTCATTTGTAATAACAGTATTTTTTGTAGGGGAAAAAAAACCAATCACAGTAAACTCTTGATTTAAAATTTAAAGCTGATTCAATTTAATATTTTCTAATTCCCCTCAATACACATACATACCCACCTACATTCAGTTTCAACAGTTCCCAATTACAGATAAAGATCTGGCCAGCTTTCCAAAAAAGAAAACCAAGAAAGCAAGAACCAGCTTGCCACAACTCTCCTGCCCACAGTAATAACCAGAAAAAAAAAAATCTTTCCTGATGATAGCAGAAGAATATAAAGTTTACCATGGCACTTACAGAGGCCATGTTTTTTTGCAACAGCACATCTTTATGCCAGACTGGTCAAACCCTTGAGCAATCCCACATCATGTTGGAGAAGATGAATCAAAAAAACTTTCTCAAATCCAAGAAAGACATTATGAAATAACAGTTGATAGTTTACCCATATCTCTCTCACTTGCGTCTGTGGCAAGACTAAGGGATTACAGGAAAAAAAAGACAACAACCATCCTGAGTAAAATCTTCATCGATCATGAAGGGAGAACTGACTCTGGAGTCAGAGGAAAGAACAGTCACATGACACCACCTGTACCTACTTATTTTGGTACATACTTGGGCAGGATTAAGTATGCAAAACCCAAGCAAAATAAAAAAGCACATCCAGGGTAGACTGAAGAAACAGTGACAGAAAACAAATTCAAAAGCCCCAAAACAAAGAAGTCAAGCAGACACTGAACAATTTTCCGTAGCACATCCTTCCCATACTTTTAAGAAGAAATAAAGTGATACTATCAACTTCATGAAGTTTTGTTTATAGGGTTTAAACGTACAATGGTGTTAAACATTATTTAATCACCTCTATGGGTACCCATTCACCTGAAATACTCAATCAAAAAAGAAAAACTTCATACAATTTAATAAAATAAAAATAGTAAATGCAATTTTTCATTTCATTCCTGTTGTTTCCAGCCTGATGAATTTGAAGCTTCTCTTCAGGAACCATTTCTGTTCAAGGTCACACTGAAAATAATTGTTTACAGGTATACTGACACTGTTACATAAATATTTTAAAAGCACATGACTGTATATATCCAGATAAACCAATTTCTACAAAAAATTCCAAGTTAAGACCATTTCATCATCCCAACTTTTAAAGATCATTTAGAGACTTAAATGGTAATCTGGTACAGGATCTGTAAAAGGAAAGCATTATTCCCATCCAAGAAATAAAAATAATGATAAAATCCCATACCCCCTAACAAATAAAAACAGTAACAAAAAAATAACATACCCCAACAATCCTTTTCATAGCATCCAGCTTTGCAGAATCTTTACTGCTTTCCAACATCTGTTTTAGGTCTTCATTTCTATGGCAGAAATACAGTAAAGCATCAATTAGAGAAACTAAAAAATCAAACCAGAATAACATTTTAATATTCTTGCATCAGTTCAGCAACTTATGGTGAAGCACTGCTCCCTCTTGCCCACTTCTAAATTGTATTTACTAACACTGTGTATAACTGTTTAGCAAAATAATGTATCAGATTCTAACAATACTGTAAGACCATGCAACTTCAATCTGCTGTTAGCTGAACCTGTCTCGAAGGCTGAAATCTTAAAGCACAAGAAGAACTTAATTTAAACCAACAATTCATTCACTTCTCCCTTGTTGCCCAGGGAAGGCCAGATGCAGTAACTAGAAGTTGGCATGTTTGTGTTAAAATATAATATAAGCTTATGTAAATCACTGAAAAACCCAGACTTCAGTATGCTCTGAATTTCACTAAGAATCAGGGATATAACCTTGTGCTCCTGTCTGCCTTTCTGGACTGTGAATTGCTATCCCCTATCCTCAGGGTTAAAAGCCGCCGATCTGTAGTATGTTCTACAAGCTGTAAGACAGCCTGATAATTAGACACATACCATGTCCAAGCACTGTTTACAGCTGAAATAAAATTCTCCCACAAAAATATCAAGCTAATAAGAATGTTCGCTTGTAGATACAGCTCTTCATTTGCTAACACTAGTAAGAAACCTCATCCTGCTTGGCTTTTTAGGTGTAAACAGATCTCAGTCTAACTGTACTTCCAGATTACAAAAGTTTACATAAAGGTTCTTTGAAGAAACAGCTTTTTTCAACATCTGGATTGACTGATTTACTGAAAGATACCACCAAATGGAATCTCAAGAAAACTGCATTATTCCAAAGAAGTCTGCAGACTTTCCAAGTTTACAAATCCTGTGAACTTCCACACAAGTGAAAGGCAACACTGGGTAGACCATGGCTGGATACCAGATGTTCACCAAGCCATTCCTTCACTCTCTGAAGCACGATGGGGGTGAGAAAATAGGATGTAAAAAAAACCTCACGTGTTAAGACAAGGACAGTTTAATAAAGAAAAAGCAAAGGCTGCATGCAGAAGCAAAGGAACAGAAATATTTATTCTCTAGTTCACATCAGCAAGTGGTATCCAGACACTTCCTCAGGAAGCAGGGCTTTAGTATACACAGCAGTTGATCCGAAGATGAAAACCGAAAAAAAGAATGTCCACCCCTTCTCCTTGTTCTTCACTTTTACTGATGACCAGTCATCATATGCGATGGAATATCCCCTTGGTCTGCCTGGGCCAGGAGTCCTGGCTACATGTCCTTCAAGGTGTTGCCCACCCCCAGGCTACTAATGAAGGGGGATATTGGAGAGACAGTCTTGACTCCTGTGTAAGCACTGCTCAGCAAGAGTTACAACACTGCTGCATTACCAACACCTTCCTCACTACCAGTGCAAAGCACAGCATGATGAAGTCTGCTGCAAGGGAAAATAATTCCATTTCAGCCAGACCAAATATATCCAGACAAGATTTCAAATGTGAATGCAGAAGCTGGATGTATTCAGATTTATCACTGCCCTCAGAATTTCGTAAGAGAAGAAGAAAAGGGTGTAAGCCAAAGCTGGAATTAGTTACAAAGTGACAAAATATTGTCATTTATTCAGTCATAAACCTTCAAACAGTACGTTTCCTACTTGCAAGGGACAAAGCCATTCTAATAGAGATATCCTCATATTTTCAGAACCAGTAAGGCATCTGCTTTGTGCCTCTCCATGAAAAAATCCACATTGCCTTTATTTCAGTATGCATAAGAACTGCAACTAGATGGGGGAAAAAAAACTAACAAAACAATCAATGCATTTCCTGCTAAGCTAGGACATGTGAAATTCAGGATACCTACATGCAACTTACAATTGAAGTCTAATTCCTTTTTCAAAACCAAGTGTTTAATGAAATAATTGGAGCAGCCTATTAGAGATTCCCTATTTGGTAAATATCTGCTTCACTTGACAGCTTAATACTTACCTTAAAAAAAAAAAAAAAAAAAAAAAAGAAATATTCAATTTTCTTGCCTGCTTTTAGTACCACCTACCCAAATATCACTGGTAACTCCCTATTTTGTCTGCATCGCACTCAAAGGTTTTTACTGTTTTTATTTGTTCCTGGACATGTTTGAAGATCTGTAAGGTCAGTCTTCTATTGCAACATTTGTTTGGTTGTGTACTTTGGTCATCCAAATTGTATGTCCCATTCAATTTTTTCCTGCAGTTTTGCATACTGCTAAGACCAGCTTAGTAACTCTATAGCTGGACATCTTCCTCATGGCAAGTGGTAACATACAATGTACCTTCTACTTTTAACACCACTCAAGGTTAACAGGTCTGTTAAAAATAACTAATGATGTGATGTCACACATTTTCCTATTGTCAGCATTCCTGTTCCAGGATAAAGGCATACCTTTCTTTATATTAAACTACATTTTTCTGATTTTACACAAAGATGCTTGTATTCACCTCTAGATCATCACACTTCTTTTAGCCACTCCATATTTTCCCCTCAGATCTATAACGTTATTTTTTATATCAGAAATAAAGTATTTTTTGGTTTGGGGCTATACATAAAATATCATTAATAATTTGTGCTTTTTACCTTCCAATCTCTCTGTACAGTTCCATTTGCAATTAACTTTTTAGAAAGCATAGCTCTGATTTACTTTTTGGCAGCTCTCTTTATTCCCATCACTCTTGGCCATAGGAACTGCCCATTCCTACCTACCTATTCCTCATAAGATAACAAGTAAATCTCAGTTCTTTTTGATCAGCTTGAAGTATTTTGCCCGAGACTTTGCTCTAGCTGGGCGCAGAAATTCAGAGACCTCTAATTCTTTCTGCTTAAGTTGTAGTTCTTACCTATGCGAGAATTTTTATGATACGGTAAGAAAAGTTACACTGCAAAAGATAGGACCAGATTTAGAAAGTTCCTTTCTAATGGAGCATCCTATGCTTCTGCTTCCAGTTTCCTACTGTTGTTGCAAAATGTGAAATATGTAAAATTTTCTTAAGAAAGGATGTTCTTTGATGCTTCATTTTTGTACACTTTCAAGCCTAATCAACAACAAATGAGATTCAATATATGAAATGGATAGCAGCTAACAAGCAAGTTTGAAGTGAGATCTGTGTGTTAGAAAGACAAATTACTTGTCTGTATAATTGCCTTACTAAGGTATAGGGCTTGACATATTTCAATGATCTCAGACCCCAGAGGGGTGAGGTTAGCAAACCTTAGGAAGAAGGATGCACCCCTGAGGATGGACAAAGAATGCAAAATTTATGGGCCACAAGGACATTTTGCAGAACCCCCGAGACAAGGAGGAAACTCATAAAGACAGCTCAGCAACAGTGTGGAATCAGCTTCAACTGGGTAAAAGGCAATTTTGGCAGGGGGAGAGCATGGCCCACTGACTTAAAAAAACATTGACTCAGAATAAGAGAAAGGCTGAGCATATGGACCAGTTACCATGAGAAGCGAGAGATTCATTACCAACAGAAGGTAGAATGCTAACAAACAAATAATCATTTGAACTTGAGGATCAAGTAGCAAAAATGGAAGAAGTTACACAGAACAAGATCCAAGTGAATACTGAAGACTGTCTCCCAGAATGTAACAAAAACCAAGAAGAAATAAAAAAGTGAATTTAAGATGAATTTAAGGTGAAGACAGAAGTGTTTAATGATGAATTGTACTTCCAAATGCTTATAGAAAATATTCTATCATACACTACAAATTAAAATATTGTGAACTGTCAGCTGGGATGATATAAACCACAGAAACTTATATATGAAGACCTGTTTTCAGCGAGCCTTGTTTCCATAAGAAAAAAGCAGCAGGGGAAAAAAATAAAGAAAGAAAAACAGGAATTAAACAACAAGTTTTTGATTAATCCACCTGGAAATTAATTATTACTTGAACTGATGGTTTATTTGGGTTTTTAAAAATCTTTTATAAGAAATGATAATCCAGGATTAGCAAATATTATTTACTTACGGAGTAAAATATTGCTCCATACATCCACATGGATCACCAGCAGCAGCAAGCCTTTTTTCTTCTACAGTTAGATATGGTTTCAGTGTAACATCAAAGTTTTTGTCTTTAAGAGCAGACTTAATAGAGCAAGACACCTCAATTATTTTGCCCAGCATTGTGGAGTTTTGTTCCATTCTTTTAAGTGAAGTATGTAAAAACCAATAAAAGAAAAATTACTGCACTCAACCAAGCTTGCCTGCCAAGAGTGAGGTCTACTTTAAAAAAGAGAAAATCTTACAAAGTAACAGGATACCCACTCCCTTGCTGTTTTAACTTCCAGAAACAAATACCATAAGCGCAAGATTTCAAACGTCATTTCCCTCCAAAAACAACTCTTATCAGCAGCCTCAATGAACAATGGGAAAAGCAAATGCATTTCAGTCTTTTGTAATACAGTTTATTTTACGGTAAAAATATTTTCATCTTTTGATCATTAAAAGGTTTTGGAAATATTAATCATACATAAAATCCCTCAAAATAGAAAGCATAAATGTAAGCTTTGCAGTCACAATAGGGCTTGTGATTCTATACTCATTATGTTGATGTGACAGTTCCTCAATACGCAATCCTAGACAAATACTTTCTTTATCACTTATCTCCACTTGCCAGGGGCTCAGCAGGCAACCCTCAGCTGCATCAATACCTTTGCCTTTACTCGCTAAAACTTTGAAAGATTTTTACCCTTACAGAGTTAGGTACATATTATAGAGGATTGAAATATATATTACTTCAGGAGCAACACCAAGCCTAATCTGATAGTTCACAAATTATGTGGAGCTATACAAAGCAGGAATATAATGGTCCCAACAACAGCAGATGCAAAAAACACCAAACTTTTGCCAGAGTATAAATATATAGTCTCAGCCATTTTTCCTAACAGTAAGAAGAGGTAAAATGACCTTCCAAGAACAAAAAAGCCCGGAAAAACAAGAAGATTCCCACCTGTCTGCCCTGTCTGATGTATTTTTAAGAATTCAACAAGATTTCCCTTGAGTTCCCAAGCCATAATCTAGTGTCTTAACATCTATTTCAATATAGGACCATTGTCCTCAAATGTTGCAAGCTGAAAGCACTGGTATAGACTGTAATTAGAAATATTATACAAAATACCAAGTAGGTGCTATGAACTATGATCTAAGAAATCAGTTCCCAGCTGCCTTTGTAATCAGGCTTGTATTCCTCAGTATCAGAATTTGAAAGCTAAGGAACTGTAAAGTAGAAAAGCAAACTCACCACCTAACTTTCATGGCAAGTATCACACATGGTAGATCTGCAATGACACAACATGACAGACATCACAAAACACATCCAGAATAATACTGACAATGTTAAGTGGAGGTAGTCAGTTTCTAACTTTCTTCTATGTTTTTATATTTCACACTTGTAACATTTAAGATATACTTTTTTCTTTCTACATCAAAACACTGTGTTTTTTATACCTTTGTAGATATGATAAGTGTATGAATATCATAGAACTAGTGACAGACCTACCAGTTTGGATTAGTCTTAGAGATGTTCCTATCAGAATGTAAACAAAAAACACCAGTTAATCTTGTCTAGTTCTTGTGTTCTTTCTTCTGTGTTCTATTCCCCTGCCATTAAAAAAGGAATAAACCACAATCCTTACAACTGCCTCAAGATAAAAGGATATGGTAGGAGTAGGGGTGTGGCAAGTACGTGGAGTATAGGAAACAAAAGAAAAGACAAAAATCAACCTTTGATCTTGGCAGTCACAAGATTATGCTTCAACAGCCTGAAATCCTATGCCAGAAAACATTTTGATCATCTTACTCTGCATGTTGATTACGGCAAAGAGCATCGAAAGAAAAATTCTGAATACGTCATGCTTCTGCCAGCACACACTCGGTCACTAAAACTGGTCACTAAAACCTCTTGCTGAGGTTAAGACCAGGATTACAGATTCCACTGAGCAATGTTACCCATTTCTGCAGAAAAAAAGGTATGTGTAGCTATACATCACTGAGGTTTTAACAGCTATATCAGCAATAAATCTGTGTCTCTCTCTCGGTTACTTTGTCTCCCCATAGGAACTATGACAAACTTCTGGTTATATTAAAATATTAATCCACAATCTGTGGCATGTCATTTGGCACTGCACTGACATATTCTGAACTACTGTTATTAGGAAAACACTTGCTCCACTCTGGTAAAATTCACATTTATTTTCTATTGGTTTTAGCAACACCGTAAGATTAAACCCATAGATTAACACATTTTGCTACATGTTCTGACATGCCAGTAACTGAAAGAAGTCACCCACTAATCATAAGCCTTCTTTGTATGAAGTACAAGGTTCATGAGTATCAAAACTGCAAATGAAGCCCAAAAAGCAATGCAATAGTAATCTTGGGAACAGTTGTAATCCCCTCAAGGAAAGGAAAGTGAATTCTAAACAAATAAACCCTGGCGAGACAGAAGGTCTTTGTATATAAGGATAGCACTGCAAGGTAAGATACAGGAAATGTAAACAAATCCACCTCTGTGGAGGAAGCAAGCTTCACCAGTTTTGGTATTATGGAACAAAGCTTATAGAACAGAAGTTACAAAAGTCTGTCACAGTTGAATTTTAACAATGCATTTCTTGTTTTAAGTTTTCCATCCACTGCATAATTTCAGTTACACAATATCCATTGCACTCTTCTTGCATTCAAGAGACTTCATTTGGCAGGACATACTTTTAACCACAGCATACTAAAATAATTTCTTTATTTGCCTTGAACATAAAAATCAAAATACTGTGGATGTTACCAAGTTTGAAGAAGAAAATACACATTGACAGTGCAGTGTAACTTTTACTCTTGGCACCTGAGTAGCAATGAAGTTATAGGGAACATCCCATGTTTCCTGAAAAAACGAAATTATTTTTTTCTTGACATCTTACTGGCACTGCAAAATCCTTAAAATAAATAGATTTATTCTAGGTCATTTTATTGTGTAAACTCTACACAAGTTTGAATTTAGCATTTGAAGAGGAACTGCAAATTGATTTCAGACCCATAAAACACCAAATCTTAACTGGCAGCAAATACATGCTGCAATTTGAGTTAATTTTGTTGATTTAGGGTTTTATTCTAGCAGGAAATTAAGAAATCTGAGTTTCACTGTGTTTTGGTCTTGCCACAAACTGTTTGAATGACATCTTGTGGTGCTGTTCAGTACTACCATCCTCTTCCTCATTATAACACTATATTTACTTCAAATTCACAACACAGAATTCAACTACTACTTCAAGGAAGCCTTGAATCGTATGAGTTTAAAGAGAAATTGTGATAAGAATTTATTTCTTTTTCAGCCACCCCTAGTTTTTCAATCTGAAAAAGAATCACATTATGCAAAAAGCAAACTCAATAGTTTTAAATGATAGACTAGAGATGTGAGGGAAATCAGGGTAAGTGTAGTATCCTGTAAGGGTGGGAGCCACAGAGAACAGAACCAGTCATAATCTGACCTGAAGCATAATTTAACTAATTTAATTGTTACTTTGTCAATAATTTCTCAAAGCAGTTGCAGTCTGGATGGTTAGCGATAGTCCTTCCTTCTCATCAAGGAAACATGAAAGTGTAAAGTAAAAAAAAATTTAAAAGGCATCTCCCAGTTCTCTGTTGTGAATAGATAGTACCTGAGCAATACTTGAGCAACTCAGTGCATCAACACCTGTAAGCTGCTGCAATCACTACCATCAATGCAAGCACATAAACTACCTACATTTCAAAAGCTCTAACCTCATGGCAGCTGGTATGACAAAACAGTTGGAAATCCCTTCTGGATCGGACTGTGATTTGAGCTTAAATTACCTGCTGTCAGTAGAGTATTTACAGACACTATCTCACCCAGCAACAAGAAATGCTGTCTGAAAGGATGAAAAGATTCAGTCTTGCAATTGCACTGCATATAACCTTTTCTGATAGTACCCACACTACCAATACTGCAGGAAAACTTCTGCCAGAGAGAAATCTTCCTTGGTGGAAGACAGTTTTCTGAAGGCTGTGTCATTGAATGAAGAGTGTGATTGGGAATGACACTGCCACTTACATGGTTGTGCCAACTTAGAGCCTGTCTTGAAGCTAATACTCAGAATCTGCAGACATTGGGAGATCACTTTGCAGCATTTCATAGCTGTGAAGAGATTATAAGGAAGTAAGAAGCAGTATCACAGAATCTTCTCAGCTGGAAGGGACGCACAAGGATCATTAAGTCCAACTCCTAGTTTTTCCAGCTTTTGCAAAAATAGTAACAAAAGGCATTTTTGAAAGATACCACCACAGAAGTGGTGTTGCCAGAACCTATTCAGTACAAGTATATATGTCCAGGTTTCAGAAACACCGTTTAACAGCATTACAATGCTGTTCATCTTCTGGCAAAATGCCAAAACCATTCCAGTTTCCTTCAAGTATCAAAACAAGGGGTGTCACAGACAAGGATAGCCTCCAGAAAAAGCAGAACTAAAAACATTCCAGCTTTGTAACTGTTGTAGATATGCCTATTTAATATCATTCAGGATGCAGATCAAAGCAAATGTCTAAGGCAAATATATAACAACACAGTAAATATGCAGAAACCACAGTGAAACTGTAAAACTTGCCTTTCTGAGCAAATAAAAGAAACCCAAAAAATATAATGACTAAATTACAGAGAGGTGCAGCAAATCAACTGTTCATTACTTGCATCCTCATATGTGCCAAGGTCATGGCAACGACAACATATTCACTGCATGTCACTTCCCACCAGATCTGACAGATTTCAGCTGTAGAAGTGTTCTGCAACTGTATGCCCATATTGGTACACTGCATTTAGTTCCTATCCTTGTACTGACTATAGGGTTCAGATTTTACTTGCAGACTCATCAGTTCATCCAAACCATTCATTTTTGCTGGGTTGTACATCCTACTGAAACTGGCATATCACCATACTGGTGGGCACAGGGCCATTTTAACAGATGGAAAAAGAAAGTAGTTGTGCCAACAAGCTAGCAGATGCATCAAGTTTGAATATTAGAGCTGGAGTCTCCTCCAAGAATTTCACAAATGGCAATCTATGTACAATCTCTCCATGACTGGTTGAACAGAATATGCCAAGACAAAACTAGATCAATTTAAGACTCCAAGAACACCTCTGGCAGCTGTTGAAAGCAAGTTTTTAGCTCCAATAGGTTTGGAAAAGTCTTCTG